CAAGTTCATTTCCTTACAATTTTGTCTTTTTTCGTTTGATTTTGGCATTCTACGACATTGGTATAGTTTTTACTTATTTTTTTGTAACTTACGGTATATTTTTGTTCTGTTTTGTACGATTTACAGTATGGTTGAAAACTTTTTTTTTTTTTGGAAACGGCCGAAAATTCATGCGCGCGCGGATGTCATCCATATAATCAAATCAACATGGCCTTATACAGGTTAGCATATTGCGATTTTGGCGCTTTTCAAAGCTCCCTGTGACATACATAACATAATAAAAGGTAACTGAAGTACAATCAAAGGGTAATGATAAAAGAAACGGAACAGACTAATAAAGTACATAAAACATACAAAATAAATATGACAAATGATATAAATGGTAATGGAACTGAATTTGCATATCAATGTCTAAAGGCAAAATGGAAAATTAACAACAAATCATATTAACTGTGGAGTAAAGAAAAGGTAGTTCAACTTTGACATGTAACCTTTGACCGGGGTCACATTCTGCTGTTCTTATAACAATCTGTATGTTAACTGGGCGTTGATGTGTGAACATGAGTGAGCTGGAGGCAAGGAATGGCATGTTTCTTAAAGGACAATCAGGTTTAAAGAAATGTTTAAGGAATCAACTTCCAATGTTATGACTACGTTCAAAGTCAGATGTCCATACTTGGACATGCAGTCGTTGATGACCTTGTATTTCACAAGGTGCTAAGGAAACGTCCTTGGTTTGCGACCTTTGCTTGTGTATACCACATGATAGTGGAGCGTTGACCTGACCCTGACCCTTGACCTGTTTTCCTACAGCTGATGCAACAACCGAAGAGAAGAAAGAAGAATCAGGTGAGTGGAAGGATTGTTATATTTCAGTCCATACCATGGTATGGATGAAATATATTGTGTTCTCTGATGTTTCTTCTTCTTCTTCTTCTTCTCCTCCTGCCACACAGTCAAAGGGATTCAACTCAGCCATCATTCAGCCAAATGACTTGAAATTTGGCATGGAGGTAGAGTGGACCAATACCCCCAGGCGTTTTTTTCATTTTTTTGATACATGCCTTTGAAAAATTTTTATGAAGGTTTTTTGGGGCATTTTTCGCCAAACAATGGATTTTTGGATCCTGAGCCCTGGTATTACAACCAAATGATATGACATTCGGTATAAGGGTACCTTGAACATGTGTCTACAGAATAGCAGTCACATATTTGGCATACACCATTTCCAAATGACTCATTTGGGGGACTTTAATGGCTATTTTCAGCAAAAAAAGGGCCAAAAGTGCTATACCCGTTCCATGTTCTATCTAAAGAATGGCACGTTCCATCTGCCGTTGGCCATGGAACACGTGTTCCATTGCGGGTTACCTGGGGTCACATTGCACGTAAGTCGTGCGTAATGACCCACACATTCAATTTTATGTGCCTAAGACCTTCAAAATGTATCAAATCTCATTATTGTTAGTATTTGCATACCTGTAATAAGATTAGTAAAGCTTTCGAGATTCAATGTGCTTGTTCTTGCATCTTTGTTCTCAATTACATGGCTACTATATAATTCATTTATTTGAGAATCTTTGCCTTACTTACACTGGGGTAATTTGGAATAGTCCACTTTTTGCGTGGGAGGGAGATGGACTGAAATATGCTGTATTTGCTCCCAAGCAAATGTCGGCCTCTCTAGTTTTATGTTGTTTTTAAGCTGCAAAAGGAAACCACCACAAAAGTAAATGAATTTACCATAATCCTTGAATTGTGAACAGTCCTTTGACTAAAGTAAAAAATTTCCTA